AGTCATAGTCAGTCCCAAGTTGCGGGCTTCGAGTTCTCTTCGGTCTCTTGCTCCTTACCTTGGGTCCTAAATTGATGATTTCGCGACCACGCGGGCGGACGCAGTTGGTCCAAGATCTCTGATTTCACTACTCGTTACTGTCGACACTGAAGTGCTGGTTTCAAGTTCCTTTCCTGGTCCTCGCTGACTGATGGTGTAGGTAGAAGCTCTCTGGCTTAGAGTTCTCTCTGTGGGTGCTTGCTCGTGACAATCAGTCCGCAATTGCTGGTTTCGAGTTTTTTTTCTTTCCTGGCTGACTGTGGCAATTGGTCGAAGATTTCTAATTTCAAGTTTTGGGAGCTCATTGCTTGTTACAGTTGGACACAAATCGCTGGCCTCGAAGTTTCTCACCGGTCCTTGCTTGCTCGTGACAGTCAGTCCGCAATCGCTGGTTTCGAGTTTTTTTTCTTTCCTGGCTGACTGTGGCAATTGGTCGAAGATTTCTCATTGCAAGTTTTGTGAGCTCATTGCCTGTTACAGTTGGACACGAATCGTTGGCTTCAAAGTTTCTCACCGGTCCTTGCTTGCTCATGACAGCCAGTCCGCAATTGCTGGTTTCGAGTTTTTTTTTCTTTCCTGGCTGACTGTGGCAATTGGTCGAAGATTTCTGATTTCAAGTTTGGGGAGCTCATTGCTTGCTACAGTTGGACACAAATCGCTGGCCTTGAAGTTTCTCACCGGTCCTTGCCGACTGAGCTGACTCTGGCTTTTCGGCACTAATCGAGTATGTGTCAACCGTTCGAAACTCCCTGGCGTCGAGTCTTACCCGCGGGTCCTTTGCTCGTTACGATCGGTCCTAAAATTGCTGACTTCGGGCTCCTTCCCGAATTTCGAGTATCCCCAGGGTCTTTTTCAAATTAAAAGCTTCGGCTTGCCAAGTTGCAATCCGGGATCGGTTGGGGACACCAGTTGGAGGTAGGGTCCTGACTATCAACGGGGGGGGAGGAGGCAAATCCAGTAGGGAGGAAAGGGGGGGCGACTAGTTCCATAAAGTTGCACTGCGCCGGTCCCCGGGCAGGTACGAATCCTCGCCTACCCAACAGTCCGAAAAAGGGGGGAGGAGAGAGACCGGGTCGGAGGTAGAGAGAGGGAGGGTTTGTACGACAAAGTGGCGCCGTTGCCGGGGATGAGCATTTCTCCCGCGGCCGCGGCCGGCTCAGAAAATTCGGTGTAAGGGAGGGCCGGCGTGACAGGCAGCGGTGGGGCGAGTTTTGGTATTTTGCATCAAGTCCCTTTTTCGGCATCGGGTCCTTCGGCGCTCGTGCCTACTCATCATCGGCTTCAAGGCGGTCGACATCGGCGTATCGGATTTCTTCAGCGGGTTCTGTTTTTTTGTCTGCTCGAAAGTCGTCTACTCCAGTTTTATTTGGCGGCCACGGTCCTTCTCAAGGGACATCAGCAAGGGTTATATTGGGGGCTTGTTGTTGGGCTTGTCGGGTGCGAGGGGGTTTGGGGTGTCGGGCTTCTCCTTGGCTTTTTGCAGGTCCGCTCCGGCCCGCTTGCGACTCCGGCTCCTGCTCCCGGCCTCCGAAGGGTTAACAGGTCAGTTCCTTTTTGTGAGTGCTTGATTTCGCGAGTGTTTATTTCTAAAAAATTGAAAATTAAGAGGGTGAACAGTTTGCTTGAGGGGTCTGGATGAGGGTGAAGAACAACGAAGGGGTGGGAAGAAGAACCGTCCGGGAAAATAGTGTAAGGGGGTCTGCTCGAGGGGGAGAGAGAGAGAGGGCAAGGGAAAGAGAGGAGAGAGGGGTCCAAGAGGGTCCGGGGGAGCTATCCATTTGGGACCCAAGGGGGTCACCTAATATTCTCGACCCGCACGGGTTGTGGAGAGCACCAACCCCGGGACTAACTCCCGCACGGGAGAGGGTGTCTAGAGAGGGGTCTGGGGTTTCGGTTCTCGACCCGCGCGGACTGACGACGGGTTCCTTACGAGGGTCGACTCCCGCAAGGGGGCGAGGTTCTCAAACGGGGTTGGTTGGGGATTTGGGGGTAAGAAGAGTCGTGCTACGGGTGTCGGGGCAAGGGGGAGAGAGAGACACACCTACCTTTCCTAGCGAAGGGGTTAGAAAAGAAAGGGATACTTGGGGGCCCTTGGACGAGGGATGGGAGGCCGAATCCTGGGTGGACCGGTGTCTAGCCGATTTCTCGGACTCGGACCTGGGGGACTATTGGGATTATGGTAACGAATACTGAAGACCCCAAGGTACGTGTGCTTATCGACTGAATTTGAGGGACTCTTCCTAAAGCTCCGCTTTTCCCAACCCACTTTTCAGGCTCCCCGATTTTAATTTCCATGATTCCAAGAGAGAAAAGAGGCAGTCAGAGGCGGAAAAGAAAGAAGGGAACGAGGTGCGAAGAGTTCGCGATGAGGAGAATGGGAGGGAGTAGATAGGCTAGCGATCTCCGATTAATAGGTGGATCCAGTCCTGGAACCCGGGCAATTCCACGCTTGAGGTGGGCCGAGTAGAGGCGTGGTACCGGATAGGCTAGCTTAGGACTAGGGGTCGGTTTCGTGGGGGACTTAGGGCCCGGGTGTGTGACTTCGGTCCGACTCCTGGGAGGGGGTTGCCACCCTTCCTCGGGGATAACCTGTGTCCGCGGCTAGTCTCTATACCGGGAGTGGGGAGGGGTCTCTCAGCGGGGGAGGACAGGAAGGTAGCCGAGTGAGACGGCGTTCCTTCTCGGGTCCATTTGATCCTTCTGAGCTCATAGGCTTCTTCTCCTTGCGGGTTAGAGGTGGTCTCTCGACTGGGCCAAAAGGAAGTAGGAACTTAAGGAATTTTCTTTTGATTATATTGCATGAGCTTAGAAGCCGTCCCGGAATGGATTAGCGTGTGTACGTACGGAGGTGTTGACGTGTGGTGTTACTCTTCTCGACTATGGACGGGTGACTTTGATGTGGGTGTCTATGTAGAGGAAGGACTAGATCAAGGGGAGGATTTCCTTCGTGGATGGGAAGAGGCGATAGGCCACTCTCGCGGTTCAAGGGAGGAATTGAGGGGTTACGGGTATAGGTATTTTTACTCTTTAGGATACCGAACCTACCCCAGAGGTGGTCGTCCGACGCCAGTAATTCCTGACGCTTATCTCGACGGATCGGACGACTGGAAAGTGCTATAATAGGGATCGTGGAGAGAGTAGTGAGGACGGCAAATCCATGAGTTTGAGGGCTCTAGAGTTTGAACCTGCTGGAATTAGTGTGGGTGATCAAGGCGGGGTGGACGTGTGGTGCTATACTTTCTACTGGTGGACCGACCATTTCGACATTGCCTTGTACGCGGAAGAGGGTGTGGATAGAGAGGCAGGATATTTGGATAGCTGGGAAGAAGCGGTCGGTCACGCACAGCTCGAGAGGGAACTGCTGGGGGCTTACGAGATCAAGTACTTCCACTCGTTAGGGTGTAGGACGTATTCACGCGGGATAGGCCTGTTCCCACTATTCCGGAAGCCTTCCTAGACGGTTCGGACGGGTGGAGGGCACTGGTTCAAATCATAGAGGAGATAGTCCAAGGGGATGGTTAAGATTATAGAGGGCACTAAAGAAGAGGGGGTTCGAATAGAGAGGGCAGATTTGGGCAAGGACAGGGAGTGCTTTAGCGTCCCCTTGGGCCATCGCACCGAGAGGTATCTGGCCGGTCGCGAGAGGGGGTTAGAGCTAGAGAAGGGCGTCTTTCTTCGGGCACGGTTTGCAGTAGGGACTTGGGAAGGGCACAGGTGGTCCCGGAATAGGCCCCAGAACAGTGAGAGAACCAGACGAACAGTGGTCCGAGCGGAAGGGACGGTCTATCTGAGCAAGGAAGCCTGGGTATATTACGTCACACACTTGGTCCTAGGTTGGTACCGTGCGGATCATTGGGAGACTCGAGCAGGCCCGATTCTGAGGCGGATCTTTGAGGCGGAACCCCTTAGATACTACCCACCAATTGAGGTGAGGGTGACTTGCGCCCGAGACGAGGAATACCCTCGCGCCACAGGGTGCGTCCGGGCTATATTCCCATCTTTCGTTTTCCAGAGGGTCAGCGGGGAGGAGGAGCGATACGAGAAGGTTGTGCGGTCCATAATACGGGAGAGAGGGTGGCAGCTCTCTGTTAGGTCGCTCCATTGGTACTACACCTACTGCGTGGATAACCTGGTACCATACGGAATCAAAGCCTGTAGGATTCGTGCAGGGATCTTTAGGGAATCTGCTCGGGATCGCGAGGGTTGACGGGATTACGGTTACCAAAGGGTCTTCAGAGTATCCCAGAAGATGTTTTAGAGTGAATGGTGTTCCATGACAAGGAACAGGGGCGCTTCGTCGTATCCTTCACGGAGGGCTGTGAGACCCGTAGGTTAATCCCTAGCAACGGGGAGATCCCCAATTGGGGGAGGGTAGAAGGAGGAAGGGCCACAGCTAGCGGGGAGTTTGTGTGGATAGAGTCCAAAGAGGTTGACCGCAGTTATCTTCGTAGCCCTGGAAGGGGTGAGAGGAGTCTCGAGGTGACCGCAGTTATCTTCGTAGCCCCGGAAGCTTGGGCAAAGATTGTGGTACCCCTGGTCCTGGGACAAGGGGGTGGGCTGGAAGAATTGTTACAGGGGGCGAGAGAGGTGCGAAGGGAGTGGATAGGTAGGGTCAGAGAGCGTCTCCAGTTTGTGGCCTTAGAGATGGTGAGATTCGCAGGGAGGGGAGAGCTTCCGGGAGCGTGTTACCCGTTGACCTTGAAGGTACCATCCTTCCTGTTTCCAGGGACAAACGAAGAGAAGATAGTGAGGCTTCTAGAGAGGGGTAGGTATTTGGGACTACCCTTTGGGGCTCTGTGGACGCTGTATACACATTGCGTCGATCAGGGAGTCCCTCCCCGCAGGAAGCTTTGGGGAATTTTTAGGAGGTTGGGGTCTCTAGAGAAACCCTTTACTCTCTCTCCAGAAAAATATCGTCGGTGGGTCTTTAAAATGACGTCGGTAGATGGTGAGGTTCATACTCAACGAGAACGGGGTGGTAGAGTCGATAGAGGCCGGTGACACTGAGAAGGTTTTGGTTCCGGGGGACCCAAGAGTGACGCCCTACTGGATGAGCGTTGAGAAGGGGGAGGTCATCCGGGGAGGTGCGTACGTGTGGGTCAGAGCTCGCCGGCTCACCTGGAAGGAAGGGGTGCAGAGAGGAGGTCCACCTGACTTCGGCCGATTCTTAGAGATTCGGGCTACGATCTTCCTCAGCGAGGAGGCGTGGACCGAAGTTTGGAAGGGCTTGGTAACCGGGCAACTAACGCATTTTGGGTACCGAGAATCTGCGAGACTGGTGGGAAACAACCTAGTGTTAGCTGACTACGAGGAAGGGACTTTCGAGTCGTGGACACTAGTGTCCTTCGCCGAGCCCGGTGAGGTCCCTCGTGCGTCAGGAATCCTTCACGCGGACTTACCCAAATTCTTGACACGCTCATTTTTTAGAGACCCGGAGGAGCGGGTAGTGGAAGTACTTAGAGCGGCTCGGGAGTCCGGGGTGCGGGCTAGGGGTTTGCACTGGCTCTACATGCGGTGCGTGGACGCAGGGGTTCCCCCAAGAGAGGAGTTGTTGGCTACATTCGAAAGGCTTAGAGAATTTTAAGGAATTCGGGCACACGTGGTTGACGTCCCGTACGCCCGCCTATTCGGGGAAGAGCAAGTAACCAACCGAAGGGGCTTGGAGGGCCAATGATAAGGAGGGTCCCAGGATCTCTCTGGGCCTCGATAGCATCCGTAGCAGATACCGCGGAAGTGGTCCAAGTCACCCTACCTAGAGCCAGGTTGGGAGGGCAGGCAAAAACCCTCTTAAAGGAAGAAAGGGGGATCCTACGTGGGAAGGCGTTCGTACGATTTGCGGTAAGTAGTGAGGGAGGAATAGTGATCGGCGAGGCCCAAATATTCCTCTCAGAGGAGGGGTATATAGAGATAGCACACAGCCTACAGGCGCGGAAAGACCCTCTCTGGGACGCACGAGCCGTGAGGGACCAGCTAGAGGAACTCGTGAGGGACGTAAGGCCTCACGAAGAGGGGCTAGTAGAGTACCGAGTGACCTACGAAGGGTGGGAGGAGATCCCACTATTCACCTCCAGTGAGCCAGTGGGGGTTCCTCGTTTCATCTTCGAACGAATCTACCCCTCCGAAGACGTTATAAGGGCGATAGGAAGGAGGGTGTCGATTCTAGGCCAGTTTCAGTTCACAGGGTCGGACCTACACACCTTGCTAACGTGGTGTTTTCGGGATCCCTATAGAGACGATTGGTCGACTCTAGAGGACCTGGGGTACGCCTTTGAAGGGTGGGGCCGGCACGCGACGGAGTCTAAGATATCGTGGAGGTACTTAGGGAAGCTCTGCGAAGGGGAATTAGAGGGGTTAGACCCCTCGACCCTCATTCGAGTCGCGATTGCCTGTCGCCGACGGAAGCTAGAGGATGAGCGAGCTTGACCTGGACGGACTTGAGGGGTTAGAAGGGTAAGAGAAGAAGTTCTCCGGATCCTCACGCTGTGTTGGGAGGAGGAAAGGAGGGCGAGGCCTGGGTCCTTGGCTAGGATCAAGCTACTGGAGACTGCTGCGATCGCGATCCTCGACGAATTAACAATAGATCTTCTCTCGGAGTGAGAAGAGGGTGTGAGAGCTTCATTCGTCTCCAGTAGGATTCGTTGGGAATTAGAGACCTGCGAGGACGGTAACGAGGTTAGGATCGAAGGGGATGCGGAACTTAACCCCGAGCTGGGAGGGGATCGGGTGATCCGTGTCGAGAAGGAATTTCTAGTGGAGGTCCGACGGCTGGCCTTGTGGAAAAGGAGGAGCTGGACCACGCTAGCTAGCTTTTCGGTCCACATTAGAAACGCGAGTGGAGTGAGGTCCTCAAGGACTTTGAGAGAGCCTTTGCTGGAAGTAGAGAGAAGATTCGAAGAAGACTCTAGGTATCTGGGAATCCCGCTGGCATCTAGGATACACCTTGTGGAGACCCGATTTTGGGATAGGATAGGAGAATACGAGGGGGCTTTGCGTCAGACGTTGCGTGAGGAAGGGGAGGTCGGTCGCGCTAAGTGCGAGGACTCGCTGGTAGAAGTCGCCGCAAGGTTGGTCGGCGTGAGGTGAGGCCCCCTATGATTAGATACGACAAGGGGGACCCTTTTGGTACCTTGGAAAGGGGTTGGAAAATGGGAGAAAGGTATGGAGTAACCCTCCCTAGGGTTAGAGGGGAAGGAGTGGTGTCTAGTGAGTTCTTCGAAATCTACGGGCAAGAGACGGTGGTCAGGTTCTCAGTGGCGTCCGAAGGAGGCAGCTGCACTAGGAAGGCAGAGATCTTTTTGTCCCCCGACGACCGACTAATCTTTGCGACTGAATTAGCAGAGGAAAAAAAAACCCTAGGCATCGCCCGAAGGGCCCTGGACCGGTTGAGGAGATTGAGGGGAGGTACTGTCGGGGAGCGCCCGATTGATAGGGTAGAATACCGAGGGAGGTCGGAAGTTCCGAGGGCGGCTCGCGGGAGGACTTGGGAGATCCCGACCTGGGCCTACCGGCTACTCTACGCTAACGACGCGACTGTAAGGAGGGTCCGAACTAGGGGACAAGTGATTGAAAAATTCCCATTAGGTGAAGAAGGGGGGCACGAGTTGTTCACCCAGTGTTGGGAATCGCGGGAAGACACTGACTTTGAGTGGTGGGCGCTCGTGGGAGGATTCATCAAACCTCTGTTCCAAGGAGAACCCGGAAAAGTTGATAGGGTCCTGATTAGGAGGTGCTCTCAGGAAGGGATAAGGGGGATCTCCGACATAAAAATAGCCAACTTAGCCTTGGCCGACTGCGAGGAAAAACGAGTGAGAGACTCTTGGTGGACGGTGACCAGCAAGGAGTCGGAGGACGATAGTGCTAGCGAGGAATCGAGTGAGGAGAAGGAGGGCTCGGAAGAAGAAGACGACTCGGAAGATAGCACAGACGATAGTGAGGGAGACAACTAGAAGTTACCAATAGGGTGCATGGAGAGTGAAGTGGAAGCTGGTCTCTCTTGTCCGCCGGAAACCACTGAAAGAAGGGGGGTAGTGAAGAGCCCCGAGTTGGGAGCTAGGCTAAGTAGGGTGGTGGAAGAAATGACTGAGGGAACAGAGACGGTGGATAGGGCCGAGAGGGGCCCAGAAACGGGTTCAAGAGAAAGACAGGCCCCGGAGGGGCAAAGAGCTAGCACGAAAGTACGGGTGCACAGGGATGTGGGGCTAAGGGTGCCGATAAACGAAGGGATCGCCGAAGCCTCGAGAGGCATTCCAGTAGAGTCCCGGTGGGTGGACCTAGTGGACCTAGGGATCGCCGAAGCTCCGAAATTTCCTAGAGATAGGCCGGGGTATCGACCACCTAGGGGGGAGGAAGATGAGGGACCGGATAGAAGGGACTTAAGAGAGGGGAGGTCGGCGGAGTCCGGTGGCAGGCCACGAAGATGGGTCGAAAGGAACCCGGGAACCGTTCCCGGCGAAAGACAGGCTTTGGCAGGACAAAGGGCTAGCATGGAGATGCGAATGTCAGTGAGAGACGGGGCAGCCGAGGCCTCAAGGGGCCTTTCTATAGAGTCTCGATGGGCGGACCTGCCGGACACAAGAATGGGAGAGGCACTAGAATTTCCGAGAGATTGGGTAGGATACAGGCCACCCAGGAGGGAAGAGGAAGGAGGACCGAGTAGAAGGGACCTTAGGGACGAGAGGTCGGCGGAGGCTGGCGGTAGGCCACGGAGGTGGGCCGAAAGGGAATCGGATGTTGCATGGGCTCCCGGAGAGATAATGGGGAGAAGTCACGGGGTGGATGCCTGGAGAGGCTTTAGGGGGCAGGACCACGTTCGGTGGGAGACGGAGTGGCCGAATGAGAGGAGCCGCTACGGGGAAGACCCCTGGGGACCGCCAAGACCTCAGCCGCGGATGGAGGAGCCTGATCCCTCTTGGTACAATCCGTACGACCCGGCGATCGATGGGCCCATGGAAGGACCCTATTTCCGTCGATACGACGACCGACGAGTCCCCTACTACGACGTCAACCTGGGTCTGGAGGCGCTTTGGGCAGGACGTGAAGGGATTCGTGGAGAAATGGGAAAGTTATGCTTACCGAAAGAGATTCTCCGAAAAAGAGTGGATATACCATTTCATCCAACACTCTGACCCGGAGTTAGATCCCGCGATTAGGGCTATCTACCCTGCGGATGGGCGATGGAGGACCTTCAAGACCAGCCTGTTGCGGACTTTCGCCTGTGATGATTTGATCCCTACCATGGAAGGTTTGCGGCGTGTTACAAGGGGGGAACGGGAGAGCTTAGTGGCCTTCACCCGTAGGTTCAAGCGGCTGTCCCAAGCCCTAGCGGATAGGGGGATGCTGTCGGAGGTGGATAGGTGCGTAATGTTTATGTTGCACCTACCCGAGGAGAAGAGGAAAGAGGTCCTTGAAAAGGCCCCGAGGGATTCTGCCAACTTCGATAAAGTTGCGGAGGTGGTTTTTATAGGGGGAAGGGTGGATGTGAGAGAGTACATGAAAGAGACCCTGGACATGGCACTCCGCAATATGCGTGGCACACGGAATGACGGCCTTAGGGGGAATGATAGACCACCCCGGGTCCGCCTGGTCCGCTCGGTCCCCGGTGGGGAGATCGACCGGCGGGATGTAGAAACGAGTCAGGAAACCAGGGAGGCTGGAGGAATGACCGAGAGGTAGGGGGGAACCGTGGCCCCGATTGTGGGAGTTCCCATTGGAAAGACGCTAGGGACGGTAGGTGGGGAGACGCGCCTCAAGCAAGGACTTCTGGGCCACGACCAGAGATTAGGACTCCACCACCTCCAGCGCCGCCACCGCTGGCCCCTCCTGTGCCTGTAGCCACCGCGCCGCAAGGGGGTCCGCGCCCCAACAACCCTCAAGCTCGAAGCGGGTGTGTTTACTGCAATGAAGAAAACCACATCAAAAGGGACTGTCCTTATTTTACGGAGGCCTTAAGGTTGGGAGTGGTCAAGCTAAACGAAAACAAATGGGTTGTATGGGGAGATGGAGGAGAGGTGGTCTCCTTCTACCCCTCAATGAAGGTGAATGTGGACAAGAGAATAGCCCTCCAGGAGGCGAGGCTGGGGAAGAAACCTGAGATTGGGAGCACCTCCAACACATCCCATATCCAAATGACGGAGTCACCTGGGGGTGTATCCATTAGGGAACCCCAGGTGTCCAGCATCAAGTTCATAGAGACCCAGCCTGAAGAAGAGAGGCCTTGCCTAAGGGTGAKAACACAGGTTGGGGCCGAGACGTCTAAGAGCCAAGAGAGCGTGACGGAAGATGCGGGAGGAAGGAGCGGCGACAACGACCAACCAATGGCCTAAGAAGAGGGGGCCTAAAAAGTTCGAAATGAAATGCACCTTGGATGAGATAGACACGGTAGCCCCCCTTAGGAGGACCCTGATGCAGCCTATGCAGTGCACGCTTTTGGAATACCTAGCCGCCAGCAAAAGCGTCAGGGAAGAGCTCCTGAGCATCACGAGGAAGGTGAGAGTCCCACTCGCAGGGGGGCCCACAGTGCTGGGGGAGGGGCCAGCCAAGGAAGAAGTACAGTTGTCCCGCATTACCATGGAAAAACTGTCGATAAACTTATTCTCGGGTGAAGAGACCAAAAAGTTATATGTGTTAGGAAGTGGCCAGCTCCAGGCAGTAGTTAGTGGGAAGAAGATGAGGGCGCTAGTAGACAATGGGATCGAATCTACTGTATGTAGGGACTCCATCGCTCGGGAGTTGGGCTTGGAGATCGATCAGGGAGTGTCAATGTCGATGGTAGTGGCGGATAACAAGCTACAACCGGCGGAAGGGGTGTGTCATAGCCCCGTGATTGAGGTCGCGGGCATTGAGACCTCGGTCCCAATATTTTCTGTAAAAGAGTGTTCCTCCGAGTTGATCCTCGGTAGGACCTGGCTGAGCGCGGTTCACGCTACCACAGTTGACCTGCCTGATGGAAGTCAGACCCTCTCAATCCAAAGTCTGGGTGGTCCTAAAGACCGTGGACGCGCAAGATGAAAGAAACAGGACTCACATTCCTAGGCGGAAGGGGAGCCAGTCGAGGGTGTGCCGAGTCCGTTTGGAGGAGGCACCCTTGACAGATAAGGAACCCAAGGGGGACCAATTGGAGGTTGAAGATGTAGGGGATAGGATTGTGATTAACGATATAGGGTACAAGAAGGAGGACGAGGAGGAGGAATTCGGTGGATGGGTGAGGTTGTCTTTTTTGGAGGAATCCCCCTAGCCGGCGGCATTAAGAAACACAAAACTGTGGCGGAGAAGGTAAAACCCGCCGCGGTCAGCCGGGATAGAACGGGGGAGGCTACGATATCGGAGGAAGAGATTGTCGATATCATCCGGAAAAGAAAGGAGACTGAAGGGCAAATAATTACGGTCGATCGGTTGGCCAAGATGGATATAGGGGATGGCAACCTCACAAGAGAAGAGAGGGAGTTCGTGGCCATGACCCTGCGAGGCTGCGATAAGGCCATAGCGTTCGATGACTCGGAGAGGGGGAGGATCGACCCGAGGTACGCTAAGCCGGCCCGGATACACACGATCCCGCACGTACCTTGGAAGGATAGGCCTCAGTGGAAATATGCTCAAAAGGAGGAGGAGGGGATAGTGGCTTTTACCAAGGAAAAGATCAGGACGTTCGTCGCGGAGCCTTGTGAGAGTGCTTACTCCAATAAGTGGTTCTTTCTGAGAAAAGGGGGTAGCAACAAACTAAGATGGATACAGAACCTCCAAAGGACCAATGCGGTTACTATAAGGGATGTGGGATCCATACCGGAAGTGGACCTACTTGCAGAAGGGTCGGCAGGTCGCTCGATATACTCAATCTGCGATCTTTTCTCGGGGTATGACGAGATCCCCTTAGACTATCGGGATAGGCACATGACCGCCATGCATACGCCTCTAGGGCTGGTCCAAATAATGGTGGTGCCGATGGGATGGACGAATGGCGTGGCGGTGTTCCAGAGGGCAATGATTGCGGTCCTCAAGGAGTTCATACCGGAGAAGGTAGAGGTTTTCCTAGATGATTTCCCGATAAAAGGGCCGGTCGAACGGGATGAGACGGAGGTCTTTCCCGGGGTAAGAAAGTTCATGGTGGACCACATGAGCGATGTCAGGGACGTCCTTGTGAAATTGGACGATGCTAACCTCACAGTGAGCGGGACCAAGAGCCGCTGGGGTGTGTCGTCCATCAAGATATTGGGTTTTATTTGCGACAAGGATGGGCGGAGGCCCGATCCCGAGAAATTAGCAAAATTGATGACCTGGCCTTTGCCGCTCAAGTCCATCACGAAAGTTAGGCAGTTTCTAGGGGTGGTAGGCTACTGGAGAATCTTCATAAAAGGCTACGGGGAGAAGGCGGAACCTCTTAGGCAACTGCTAAGGAAGATGGAAGGATGGATTTGGGGGGAAGAACAGGCCGTGGCCATGGAAGCGCTGAAAGAGGAATTCCGCTAAGGAGGGCAAGTCCTAGGGGTCCCATGCTTCGAGGACGAGGGGGGTCGCCCATTTATAGTATCCACAGATGCGGGGCCCAACTCGGTCGGGGGCCTCTTGTCTCAAAAAGATGGAGAGGGGAGGGAAAGACCTTTACGATTCGAGAGTAGGACCTTGAACCCCGCCGAGCGGAATTATAGCCAATTCAAAAAGGAAGTGTTAGGGGTACTGCATTGCCTGAAGGCCTTTCGTCATTACCTGTACGGGCGACGATTTCTCCTGAGGGTGGACCCAACTGCAGTGGCCGCGGTCCTTCAAAAAGATTTCTCGCTGACCGATCGGACCATCGCCCGATGGATGATACATATTAGGCTTTACGACTATAGGGTCGAGAGGATATCAGGGGCCAAAAACCAGGTCGCGGACGGGTTGTCCCAGCTTCCCATTCGTGAAGAAGGCCTACCGAGGCTTAAAGAGGAAGCGGTAACGATGACCGAAGGAGAAGTAATGCAAATAGCCGCTAATAGGGCACAGATAGCGGGGAGCAGCCGGGAAGAGGAAGGGGCCCCAAGGACTTTTCTCGCTAATCTCTACGACGGGAAGTACCGGGACATAGGACTGTATTTGGCCGGTAGGGAGGCAGGGACCGAGAGAACCCAGCAGGAAGCGCTGGGATATTGCTTACGGGGGGGCCATCTCTTTAAGAGGCCCACGAAGTTCGCGATCCCCATGAGGGTGTTGTGCGACTCAGAGGAAAGAAGGGCGGTCATAGAGCAGTTACACGACGGAGTCGTTGGGGGCCATAGAGGAGTAAAAGACACTTTCGACAAAGTCCATAGGCTCTATTGGTGGGACGGTCAATATACGGAGGTCGAAAAATACTGCTCGACATGTGAAGCTTGCCAAAAGAGGGCGACGGTTCGATACAAAGATCCCTTAGTTCCATCGCTTCCCACGGTTCCCGGAGAAAAGGTCCATGTGGACTTGGTGACCATGCCAAAAGGGGTCGGCGGGCTTCGGTATATAATCAACGCCCGTGATTACCTCACAGGATTCGTGGAAGCGAAAGCCATTAAGAAGAAGACGACAGAGGAAGTGAGTGATTTCCTCCTTGAGTATGTCGCGCGGTACGGGTGTGTCGGGAAGATAGTCATGGATAGGGGGTCGGAGTTCTTGAGTCAAAAAGTCAAGACGTTGTTGGAAAAAGCAAGGATCAGGGCGGCCTATACGGCCGCCTATCACCCCCAAAGCAAAGCGCCGGTGGAAGGGGTCACCAAACGCTTGAAGATGCCCTGGCAAAATGGTGCAAGGGTCGCGCGGAGCAATGGCCGAAGTATTTGCGGTACGCGGTCTGGGCCGATAACATCACGGTCAAATCCAGTACGAGGTACCCTCCTTACACCCTTTGGTTCGGTAGGCATTGTCCCCTAACCATCGAGTTCCATGTCGACACTTGGACGAGTGTCTCGTGGAAAAGCAACATGACTAGGAATGAATTGTTGGAGGCACGGATACGGCAAATAGCCGAGAATTTGGATGCCGGCCTAACCGAGGCGGGAGAGAATGTCGAGAAAGAGAGGGTGAAAGGGAAAGATAGGTGGGACAAAAATCTGCGGGTCCGAAAGACGCCAATAGGGGTTAACGACCTTGTGTTAATGTACGATTCGTCGCTGGAGAAGACCTGGAGCCGGAAGTTAGCCAACCGGTGGATGGGGCCCTATAGAGTTCTAAAGAGATTGGATGGAGGAGCTTACATGAGACCCTATCGCGGGAGCTCGCCTCAAGGAAAGCCTTGAGAATCAAACGGGAGAGAGAAGAGAGAAAACGAAAGAGGGAGAGGTGCGAGAAGAGGATAAGGAGACAGAGACGGGGGTAGAGTCCCTAGGGGAGAAAAGGGAGAGTAATGTACCATAGTCAGAGGAACATGTGAGGTACCATGGTTAGAGGGGAAGCGGATCCGAAAGGAAGAATGTACCATAGTTAGAGAAACATGTATCATGGGAGCAATGAGTCGTGATCCCAAAAGGGATATTGTATCGTGGTTAGAAACAACCTATCCCAAGGAGGAGTGCGCTGTGTGTCGTGTACCATAGTTCCTAAGGTGGGAGATGAGGGGTGCCGTAACAAGGCGATGCGGTTGAAACAGGTAGGAAAGGGAGGGAGACCGTAACCTAACCAGGGGGGGACGGGATGAGACAAACCATGGGAAAAGAGAAGATACACTTTCCAGGGTAACTATTGGGTGAGGGGGAAGGAAGGGCTACAGGACTGCTCGCTGGGGACGGCGAGAAATGGAGTGTGGGCTGGTTGTCAGGCGGCTGGCTACCAGCCGAAAGATCTCTTTAGAAATGAAATGAGTGTTTGTTTCCTCTTTTGATTGGTTTCGTGTTTTTTTTTTTGATTGAGTGCATGATGATTGAAGGATGTTTGGGGGACACGGTTTTTTTCTCCTTATACTGATGTTGCTGAAAGCTCAATGGGGCCCGTCGGCGCAAGGCAAAAGCGGTGCCGCACGGACTGCGGAAGTCAGAGTATCCGGAGCGTTTTTTTCAAATACCAGGACAGAGCGGTCAACGAGAAGCTTAGCCACTGGGAAAAGCGCGGCATGGGGGTCTGAGGTTGCTCGTATTCCCAGTATGGCCTACCGATGTGCTACAACGAAAACGTGGAGGTGTCCTTAGAAAGCGCTCGATCATCGGATAGCCTTGGAGAAAGCAGGTCCGCGCGCGTCGGAAGGGGCGCCGTCGACGGGGGTTCGAGCGAGAAAATCGCCGGTGGCGGGTGATCGGTTTAATGCCACACAAATCGTGATTCTTTGATCCATGTTCGGTTGCGGATGAAAGACAGCCACTGCAGAGACTAAGAAGAGGTGGCCGGCTCGAAAAGAGAAGTGGGCCCGAAAGTGGAAGGGAGAAAAAATAAAAGCAGAGGGAGAGTTGCACGACCACAACTGAGATTGGAAGCAGGGAGATGCCTCGCGAGACAGGACTGTATTAAGCAGGTGGGACCAAGACGGAACCCAAGGGGGGGAAAGAAAAGAAGACGGAGAGGGGAGGGGCCGGCAGGATGATGAAAAACAGAGGAGTCGATGCGTCTGGACAGGGAGTAACTCCAACTGCCCAACGAGAAGATCCCTGTGGAAAAGGGGGGAGATAGGTGGGGGTGAACGCTGGTGAAGAAGCAGGGAAGCCGGAGCGCGGGGCTCCTCGCGGTACGAGATGCACGACACGATGGCCTTTGGCTGACCAAGAGGCGAGGGGAATCGGGGAGTGTCCGAGGAGAAAGGAGGAGGCTGGTCACCCAGCCAAGGAGACGGTTGAGAAAAGGCGAGCACGCCCCGCGCTTCTTGATAACCTACTAGCAGACGGATTCGGGGAGCAGGCGTATCTCGGGGCTCTCCGACAAGCAAGATCGGACTAAGCACGAAGGGAGAGAGTGACGGGAATAAATCTGGGAGGTTAGTGTCGCGCGAGGAGTAAGGACTCCAAACGTTTCTTGCGGATCGAAGAGCCAAGATGAGCCGGAGCGGAGCGGAAAAATCGTAATTGGAAGAGGGAGAATGCGGGGGGGGGGGTTATTCTGGGGGAACTGCAAGGGGGTCGACTTATCGCGATGGTAAGCGTGAAATCCAACCGTTTCGCATGGCCGAGGGGAAGGGGGTGAAGGAGCGGAGCGGGAAAAATCGATCGAGGAAGCGAAGAAAAAGGGGAGGTGAGATCTTCGAAGGGCGTCGAGGCAATAGGGAAGGTAGTTAACATCGGGCGGCGGGAAGGTAGAAACTCAGACCGAAAACGACAAAGGAGTAGAGCGGGAAGATGGGTTGAAGAAAGTAAGAGGAAGCGGGGGAAAGTTGAAAATTTCGAAGGACGAAGGGTAGCTTAAGGGGGCGCCGATGATTGGAGGAAGGATGTCGGGGGAGGATTGATCCGGGGGAGGAAAGGGACGAGAGAGAAGTATAAAAGGGACATAGGAGAAGAGAATGGGGGGCGTACGAGGAGTCCTTTTTGGAGCGGACCAGGCACTCTTCCTTTACGTACGAGGGTTCGCGTTCGGGAGGGGAGGGAGCTCGAGGAGCGAGCGCGAAGTCATGGGCTGTACCTCACACTTACGTTGCGAAAGCGCTCGGAGGGCTGTCGGGGAACGGCGTACGTTCGAAGGGGAGAGAACTCCTAAGAACAGTCGTGTGCATTCGGGCATCGGGGGAGTCTGAGCGCGAGTCTCGTGGTGTCGAGCAGCGTCGCCAGCGAGGTGGCGCCAAAGCTGAGAGGAGGAGGGCGCGAAGGTGGCTCTAAGGGGTGGGGGTCGGTACTCACGAGGGCGCTCGCTAGTCTACCCGCTGGCGAGGGAGAGAGAGAGAGAGAGAGAGAGAGAGAGAGAGAGAGAGAGAGAGAGAGAGAGAGAGAGAGAGAGAGAAAGAGAGAGAGAGAGAGAGAGAGGGAAGGAAAAAGAGAGAGAGAGAGAGAGCGAGAGAGAGAGGAAGAGAAGAGAGAGAGAGGACGAGGCGAGTAAGGAAATAATCAGGATCGGTGCGCACTAGAGAGCGCTTTAGTCTATCCGTTGAGGAGGGAAGGGAAGAGAGAGAGAGGGAGGGAGATAGAGAAGGAGGAGCATGGCAGCGCGGGCGGGAGACTCTGCGCTCAGTAGCGAGCTCGGGGACCCACGGAAACCGTGAGCGGAGTAGTGAGGAGCGGCACTAGCAGCCACAACGCAAATCGCCCGAACCGTTTCCGGCCGATCGGGTCACCCGACAAGCTTACAAGAGAGAGAAGAGAAGGCAAGCCTTAGGGAGGGAAAGAGAGAGAGAGAGAGAGAGAAAGAACGAGGTGGGAGGAGTCGCGGCCACGGGGAAAGGGGGCCCGAGTTTCGAGGTCGTCCCTGGCGCCATGCGTGAGGGCTGATGTCAATCAGCTTTTCAACCCCGACTGGTATTGAGCCGACTCGACATGTGCTCCTGACGCTGGCTTTGTCGTAAGCAGATGCGAGGGCGGCTCGGACCCGATCCATCCCTTGGTCCTATTGAATCCGCCTTCGTCACTGCTGAGGGTAGCTGCGGGACGGTCTATGACCTCGTCCGATCGACGCCGTCTCCATCACAGAGGAACGACAGAGTGCTCGTCTTCGTCCGATCAGGGCTGCCTAGAGCGATAGCCGCCCTCTTTGCGAAGCTCTACGGGCGCGTCTCGACGCCGCCTTCTGATTCTTCACAAGACGGCACCCGCTCCGAGCTCCGATCCTCAAAAGCGGTAAGTCAGCTGAGCTCGCCTGCTTCAAAGTTCGTACCGGGCTCATGCCCGAACGAGGGGAGTAAGGACGGGCGAGAGGAAAGTAGCGACCGACAGAAGTGAGGAAGATAAAGGGAGAGAGAGGAGGCTGGAAGAAGAGGGGTGCGAGGAGGTAGCCGAGGGAGAACACCCCCGCACCTCCAGGAAACGCCGGCAACATCGCAAATTCTTGCTAGTCATAGTCAGTCCCAAGTTGCGGGCTTCGAGTTCTCTTCGGTCTCTTGCTCCTTACCTTGGGTCCTAAATTGATGATTTCGCGACCACGCGGGGGGACGCAGTTGGTCCAAGATCTCTGGTTTCACTACTCGTTACTGTCGACACTGAAGTGCTGGTTTTAAGTTCCTTTCCTGGTCCTCGCTGACTGATGGTGTAGGTAGAAGCTCTCCTGCTTAGAGTTCTCTCTGTGGGTGCTTGCTCGTGAAAGTCAGTCCGCAATCGCTGGTTTCAAGTTTTTTTTCTTTCCTGGCTGACTGTGGCAATTGGTTGAAGATTTCTGATTTCAAGTTTTGGGAGCTCATTGCTTGTTACAGTTGAACACAAATCGCTGGCCTCAAAGTTTCTCACCGGTCCTTGCTTGCTCATGACAGTCAGTCCGCAATCGCTGGTTTCGAGTTTGTTTTCTTTCCTGGCTGACTGTGGCAATTGGTCGAAGATTTCTGATTGCAAGTTTTGTGAGCTCATTGCCTGTTACAGTCGGACACGAATCGCTGGCTTCAAAGTTTCTCACCGATCCTTGCTTGCTCATGACAGTCAGTCCGCAATCGCTGGTTTCGAGTTTTTTTTTCTTTCCTGGCTGACTGTGGCAATTGGTCGAAGATTTCTGATTTCAACTTTGGGGAGCTCATTGCTTGTTACAGTTGGACACAAATCGCTGGCCTCGAAGTTTCTCACCGGTCCTTGCCGACTGAGCTGACTCTGGCTTTTCGGCACTAATCGAGTATGTGTCCACCGTTCGAAACTCCCTGGCGTCGAGTCTTACCTGCGGGTCTTTTGCTCGTTACGATCGGTCCTAAAATTGCTGACTTCGGGCTCCTTCCCGAATTTCGTGTATCCCCAGGGTCTTTTTCAAATTAAAAGCTTCGGCTTGCCAAGTTGCAATCTGCGATCAGCTGGGGACACCAGTTGGAGGTAGGGTCCTGACTATCAGTGGGGGGGGAGGAGGCAAATCCAGTAAGGAGGAAAGGGGGGGGCGACTAGTTCCATAAAGTCGCACTGCGCCGGCCCCCGGGCGGGTACAAATCCTCGCCTACCCAACAGTCCGAAAAAGGGGGGGAGGAGAGAGACCGGGTCGGAGGTCCATCGAACAGAGGGGGTAGAGAGAGGGAGGGTTTGCACGACACCGTCCTTGCGGCTACGCAAACACCCACGTCGGCCCAAAATGGTCGTGCGCTCCTCAGCGGAAAGGGCACCACGAGGAGGGACAAAGCCCTGAGGGAGGTCCTACTGAGGGACCTCGGGGGGAGATGCGCTAGCATGACCAGAGCGGCTGCGTGCCCCGGAGAGGGTGGAGAGGGCGAGCTGGAGGCGCTCGGCCATAGGGAGAGTAAAGCCCTCCAGGTGGTAGTGGACGGCCTCGCAGAGGTCAAGGTCATCGCTATGGTCACCCTTAGGCGACAGCGGGGCAACAGCGTCCTGCTCACCATACTCGAGCGCGTTGAAGCGACGCGAGAAGTGGCGGCGCTGCTGCGCGGAACGGCGGGGGCAACCGCAGAAAGGGGAACGGCGTTGGGAAGTGTCGTGAGAGGAGGGGGCGTAACCAGTACGCTGAGGCTGGGAGGAGGAAGTGTGTTGAAGACGGGACCGCATTCGCTGATGGGCCCTGGCGGCCACGTAAGCCTGCGGGCCCGATGTGAACTCGTACCACCGTAACTCAGAGCGGTATTGAAGGGGAAGTCTGGCCAAGAAACGATCGATGAGGGCAACCTCGGGGAGGAACGCCACATCACAAATGAGGCGGGCGTCCTGAAAGACCTGGATGTGGCGGTCCAGGCCGGTAGTGCCACTAGAGTCGGACGAGCGTGTACTGACGACACGCTCGAAGGCCTCAGTCACGTCATGTTGGGCTCCGAAGCGATCCTCAAGGAACGCCTGGAAATCCATGAAGGTTGGGATCCGACTCTCATGAAGGAAGTGGGTGTAGAAATCAGGATAGGGGAGGAGGGGGTGCAGGGCGGGGGAAGCGCGCCTGCATGGATGGAAGAGTAGAGGAAGAAGGGGGTGCGCTCGAAGGCGCGGCCACCTGTGAGGGTAGGGGTGGCTGAAGGCATAAGAGGGCGAGGTCGGCCCGGGTCTGGGCAAGCTCGTCCCCTTGACGGCGGACGTAGTACTAGGAGGAAGAGTGGGGGAAGTTGATGCACGAGTGGCGTGGAGCATCCCATGAGGGGGAGAGCAGGTGGCGTCGTGGACGTGCGAAGGGGAGGGAGAAGCGGGCCACCCGGAAAAGCTGAAACCGCAGCAGAGGGTTGTGGTCCCGTGGTCGTAGTGACCGGAATCTGGGCGGGTGCGCCCGTAGGGTGAGGGAAGGCCTGGCCCTTGGCAGCCGTCAAGCAGGAGGAGCGTGGACGGTCACCAGGATGGCTGGGTCGGCGGCAGCGGAGGAGGAAGCTTTGCCATGGCCACCATGTCGGAGGACGGGGGACCCGGACTGGGAGCCAGGGGAAGAGAGAGTGGGGAGAGGAAGGACGGCCAGCGTCCTAGAGTTGCCGCAGGCCAGCGGCAAGAGTTGCCACCTATGCCTGTAAGGGCGCAAGGAGGGAGGTGAGGAGGTTGTGCAGATCCCCCTGGGTCTGATGGCCCTGGTCTGCCGCCAAAGGTATGGGGCCTGGTGCCGAGGTCGTTGCCTCGTTGACGGCTTGTGACACGTCGTCGGCCATGGGGAGGTGACGAGCCGGGCTAGAGGGGGCCAGAGGAGGTCCGTGTGAGCAGAGGGCGTAGGGGGGGTTCCGCGGTAGAAAGCAACGGGTGGCGTTAGTGAGTCGAGCACGGGCGCCCACAAAGGGGGAAGGGTGGTTCGGGTCCAGGGTGCCCGAATGGAAAGGGGAAGTAGGGGGGTTAGGAGAACCCTAAACCCTTGAAAAACCCTAAACCCTAGATAAACCCTAAGAAAACCCTAAGAAAACCCTAAGAAAACTCTAACCGGAGTTTGAGTGGTTAGGGTAGGGTACCGGTGACCTAATCAAGAAAATAAAATAGCAAGCATGGGGGGGAGGTGGAAGGAAAATAAATAAATAGTGAAATTTTGAGAAAAAAATAAAAATAAATAAATAATAAAAGTAATTAAACTAGGCTACCAGCCGGGCCGCCCGGGTCCCGGGTGACCAGCCCGTGCAAGGACAAAGGAGGGTCTCATTAAAAAAAAAAAAAAATCCAAAAAATCCAAAAAAAAAAACTATGTTATGCAGAAAAATAAACTGAACAACTTTTGCCTCAGGGTCCCATCAAAATTCTTTACCAAATTTAAAATATAAAATAAAAATTTAAAATATTTTTATATTTTTTATTTTTTAAATCTTTTTGGCCCAGCCGGGCAAGTGACCCCGGGCCACCCTGGTAGCCCAGTAATTAAAGAAATAAGTAAACATAATGTGAAGAGAGAAATAATATTTATTTTTTTGGAATTTTTGGCAGCATTTCCCTACCCCCCATGGGGTCAAGAATGTGCCAAGGGAAAGGAAAGACCAAGATAAGTACACTAAGTTTCAAAATGCCGCAAGTTAAAATTTTTAGAAAATAAATAAATAAATAAGAAATAAATAAATAGATAAGTAGATGAGGACGTGAAGAGAAATTCAGTGTTGGATTTTTCAAAAATTTCGACAACATTTGGTTACCCCCATGGGGTCGAAGTGTGCCGTCGAGAAGAAAGGCTAAGTAAAATGAGAAAATTTCGGCAGCACTTCGTTACCCCCACAGGGTTAAAATGTGTGTCGAAAGCCAGAATGACTAACTCCTAATCAGATTTAAGGATGCCGCAAAGAAATTCAAATTTTCAGAATAAATAAAATTAAAATGATATAAATCAAAAAATGAGAAAAGAAGGTGGGGAGTAAGATAATTCGAATTTTTGGAAAAAAGAGGAAATATAAATCAAAAGAAAGATAGAAAGAAGAAAAACAAAAAAAATTCGAAGTAGGGGGGGAAGGGGGTGAAAAAGTGAAGGAGAAAAGAGAGAAATAGGTGAGAGAGAGAAAAGAGTGAAGGGGGAGATGGGGGAAGTGATGGGGTTGTAGTTGGGGGAGAGGAGGGTGAGAGAATGGGAGTAAATAGGAAAGAATGGGATGGGAAAGGTGGAGAGGGATCAAGAAGCAAAGAGGAAAGAGGAGAAAGAAAAGGAAATAAATTGCAAGGAAAATGAGAGATAGTGAGATGACAGACTCCAGATAGCACAATCACATTGAAAGCAAGAAAGTCCCACAGTGTCCAGATAAGCAGCATTGCACCAATATTACACCAATGGAGAATCGAAACACTGAAACCGAATGTCAATGAGAGTTTTACTCTCGTCCCCACCAACGTACGTATCCAGGCCCTCTCTCCCTACTTGGCGCTCGGCGCCCAGGCTACTACCTACACAACTACTTCCTGCCTACGAATTGACAATGCAACTGTTGACGTCAGCAGACACCGAAGTACTTGAAGATGTCGACCAATGCAGATCATCGCCAATACCAGGTATGCGCCCTCACATCATCATCCTCGTCCCTTCCACGCTCTCCCTATCCTTGTCTTCCTCCCTCGTCATCTCCCTTATGCACGAAGACCACCACCACCTCCGCTGGCTGTCCAAGCCAAGCCCTGGCTATGTAAGGCTGGCTATGGCGCTGCCCTCGGCAGTGCCATGCCTTCTTCCAGCGCCCGCGTGCACTGCCTGGCAGCTAGCGCTAGCGCACAACGCACAGCCTGTGAGCGCACGCTCAAGTAGCGCTGCCGCATGCACTGTCGAGTGCCCGAATGCCTCCACCAGTGGCGAGCTCTTTCCTTTATGGAAGGTGCTCGCCCAGTCTGCTCCCTGGCTGGGCCTCATGTATTTCCAGTAGCTTCCAATCGGGCCAAAGTGTCTGCGCCCAAACCCATTCAAAAAGTGGTTTGGGACCGAATTGGTTGAGCCTGCCTAACCACCCAAGAGTAAACTTGAGGCTCTCCCTGCTTCGCCTGTGCTGCTGGAAGAGCCTAGAAGGCTCAAAAATTATTTATGATTCTCACAAGTATGGAGGATGAAACCAACTGGCGCATGGCAACTGTCTAGCGCCCACCAAACTTTGCCAAAATTGATGAACTCAGGCCATATTGAGATTCAGGGGCCCGCCTTCACTTAGGGTGGGCTCATGCTTGTTGAAAGGGCCCTACAGGGGCATGCCAAGGAGCCAACTCGTAACAAAGCCTTGTCGAAGATCCATGACCACATGGGGTTTACAACAGGCTATGCTTGGGCCCCTCAGCCTGGTCTCATAGCCCTATAAACAGGCATTGGCACATATTTGCAGGCCCGCCTTCACTTAGGGCGGGCACAACACTTTCAGACACTGCCTAGGTACTAAATCCTCGCAAAATGAATAAAATAGAGTAAAATAGTGGGTGGTGGGAAAAAAGGGGGGGTGGGGAGAGGGGTATGAGTAGTGAAAGTGGTTAGAAGGAAATGCGTGAGGTAGAAGAAGAAGAAGTAGAGGGGGTGAGTAAGAGGAGAGAGAAAAGGTAGAGAAAGTGGATTAGTAGGGAGAGGGAAGAGAGAGGTGATACCTGGCTCTTGGTGTCTCCAAAGGCACAAGGTATACGAAGACCAAGAGGGTATAGGCCTTCACTGCAGCAAGCCAACTGGCGGAGGGAGGGGGGGGTGAGATCTTGATTAGCCCCTAGCAGCAGCACTGTAGATCCAGGGTGTGTTGTGTGAGCAGACCCTCACCACTGTAGAGCAGCCCCTGATCAGGGGGTCTTCACGGTGTAGGGCCAAACCCCGGTAGACTTTCGAGCCTTACTCGACCCACTGCGGGTCCCAGTTGGCTCGGCCCGCCCACGCTTATGCTCAGGGCGCGGGCCATTCGTCCTAGGGTCACCCCCACCTAGTGCTTTGAGATGGATGGGGGTGGGCCATCGCGCGAGAGAGCTTTGACATTGGGGGTGTAGCTCAGCCCTCACGCCGGGTGGTAGTCTCGCTGGTCATTCCGCAACATTTTTTTTATTATTCTTGGTTGTGTTCTCAGGCGATTGCTCTTTCCAATAACCAGGCAGTCCAATGGTTCTTTGAGAGTCTCTCTTCTCTTGTGCCAGGCTAAGCATCATCCTTAGGCCGCGCACCATTTCCCTAAGCATTGTGATCCTACGACGTCATCGGGGTGCGCGATGTCGTCCTTCCCCTCGCCTCTACGCACCCATCGGGTCTCATGTATCTCATTCAACCCTATTGGCGCATGCCCCTTAGTCTTTTCGGGGCCTCTACATGCATGCACACACAACTTCACATTTCCCTTGGCAAGATTGCACTCCATTTTCTCATTCGCACGCCAAGTCTCAAACGCAAAGGTCATTCTCATGGATTGGCTTTAAGCTAAGGGTCCCGTAGCCCCTTTGCCCCTCTTCCCTTTCCCTTTTTGTCGCCCGGTACCTCCTGTCCCTATCCCGCTCAAGGCATCCTTAGCCTTCACTTACCTGCACAGTCCCACACAAAGCAAAGATCCATACAATCCCCCGTTGGGGGTCAACACATAGCCCTTCCCACATGCCTATTCTTTCCATGTTCTTTGGCTGCTCTTTGTTCCCTCTCTTTTGCTCAATCAGCCCATCCTTTTCTCATAGTCATGCAATCGGGGAAATGGTTGAGTCAAACTGACCTTGCT